CTCGTCAGGCGCCGCTTCAAGGCCTCCCCGTCCGCTCGCCGGGCGCCTCCATGACTCTTACCCACAACCCTCCGCGACGGCAGTGTCTCTGGCCCCGCCCCGCACCATAGAGGCCGCCATAGGTGTTTCATGAAACGCTGTTTCTAGACGGGCCGTTTCGGCCTCTCGGAAGAAACACTTCCGGGGCGTTCCCCTGGAGAGAGGAGGGGTCCTCCTGCGCAGGAGGCCCGCACTTCCGCATCGCTGTGACGGGACAATGTGTGACACGTGACACTCCCTTAGAAGGACCCCTCTCTTGGGCAACCTTGTGGTTGCCTGAGGGAGGGGGGCCGCTGCCCTTAGCGCAACAGCCCTGCAGAGAAGGTTGCCGAGCGGGGTGTGTGAGGTGATTAAAGCGGAGCTTCGCCAGTCTTGTCCGCCATTCTGTCCTCCATTCCATGGGTTCTGCCGCCCCAGGTTGAGAGCAGCTCACTTCTCGGGGTGTTCAGTTTGTGACTCTATTAGTTTTATCTCTAGAAGCCTTTCGGGATCACGTGCACTGCCTTCCTGCCTTTCTTCGTCGCGGATTGGGCGGTGTCACCCAGTTGCCATGGTGATAGGAGCCTAGAGATACGAAAAATTAAGCGTGACCTACCACCGCTACCTTGATGGCTGTTGTAATCTCCAGAAGTGGCTTTTCCAAATGCTAAAAAATTGCGAAACTCGCTATTTTTGTGAAGGATTTAGTGAGCCAGTAAAAGCACTATCCAACCCGATTTTTTTTGTCTAGGGTGGTTCTATGATGGCAAACGTGGCTGTGACCCTGGATCTGCCTCTCTTGTCTTCCAGGCTTTGCACTCCTCCTCCAGCTGCAGCCATGTCTCGGGCAGTTCCGCAGGCTGCCCTCACATGCTGCAGAGAGGAGGAGGAACCTGGCATGACCTATACCAAGCTTGTCAAAATCAGTCTTTCTGATACTGAGGAATCCTCCACAGAGAATCCTTCCCCACCCCAGCCACATCAGTCAGCCCACACCCTATGGAGTGACATGTAAGAGGGCTTGGATCTTTAAACTGAGACTCACAAAGTGACCTTGAACTAATCACATCCTTTCAGCCTGGTCCACTTCTGTGCCACATTCACAGGGCCGTTATGAGGACAAAGTGGGAAGAATGATGTACACCACTTTGCGGTCGCCGAGGGATATAAATAACATCACTTTTATGGCAGAGAGATCCTTCCATTCCTCTCCATACAGGACCAGTCACGAGGATCACCTCAGCCCACTATTTCTTCCTGGACTTTCTTGCAAGGGTGGCAGGGTGCTTGCTGATGCCACCCAGCCAGCCATTGGCTTGGAGAAGGGCTGCCCTATAGCTTTGCAGTGTCCAGCCATAGCTGTCCTCCTTCCATTGCCCCTCCCAGGAGGAAGGTGGCACAGAAACAGAACGGATAAAAATAAATAAAACAGTGTGTCTTTCTGCCCTTTGGGCTTGCTATTCTCCAAGAACACCTGGTGGACAATTCTAGTAGGGATAAATACATGTGAATATTTGTCAAGTTCTGTTTCTATAACAGGGCCCTGAATGATTTCTCCACATAAAACAGAGAGGTGTGCATTAGAGGCATCCGACTTTAATGGGTTGACAGGGCAGTTTAGACACATAGCAAAAATAAACTGGATCAAAATCTGGCAACATGTTTTCCACTGTAAAGAAGCTCCCGCCCCATGAGTGACTCCTTAGGATGGCAGGCACAGGAAAAGGGTTCTCAGGAATCCTAGACAGAATGGATTCTTTGTCACTGGTGGACAAGCAAATGTGGCCCTACTCAGGCTGCGGCGAGGGTTTCCTGGATCCAGTCCACCAGGCCAAGCACCCGCACGTAGACGCCGTATTTGGCGGTGCTGCATGTCTTGTCAAAGCTCAGGATGCCAGCTGCGTACCAAGTATCGTCATCAGGATCCTGGACAGTAAATGCTCCTCCTGCGTCACCATAGCATGTATCCTCACGGAACCTACTCATGCCTGCACAGAAGGTGTAATTGCCCAGCAACGGCTTCACGGCGTCCTTTCCCTGGCCGGCGTAGTAGGCCGTGCAGATCTCTTGATCTACCACTGGCAGCTGAACGTAACGCAAGGACGTCGGGTGTTCCATGAGGACATTGCGACCCCAGCCGGCGATGAAGCCCACCCGGCCAGGCTCGATGTAATCCTTCTGAGGCAGGCAGATGGGCATCACGGTCTCCCCGATGGGCACCTTCCGCTGGAGACGCAGCAGCGCCAGGTCCACCTCCTCGGGGAAGCCGGGATGAAGGACGATGCGGTCCACGGGGCCAGCCGATTCCCCATTGCCCAAGAAAAGTCGGAGAGTGGGAGCGATCTCCTCTGGGCGGGCCTTGGCGCTGTGGTTCAAGTACAGGTTCCTGCCCGTGGTCAGGAGCCATTGGTCGCTAATTAGCGTGGCCCCTGTTGTGCGGTTGTGTCGGGTCACCAGCTTCATTTGCCAGGGGAAGTTGTTTCTGGCAGCCATGAAACCCCCAATGATGCGCTGCAGCGGGCGGGCCGGCGACTTGGGCCTGCCACACACTGGAGAAGGGAAAGAAGAGATAGCCATGAATGGCGACCACCAGCTCAACGGGCCATTTTAAATCTGCTGTTAAAGAAGCATTTTTAATTGATGTGTGTGTCTGTGTGTAATTTTTTTAGTCTGTTACAGATGACTTTGAGACAGGAAATAAATGCTTCTGAGAAATAATAAATAACCAGACTGAAAGAACACAAGAGGTTAACGCTGACTGTGCTTCCTAGCTCTAGCTGACGGAAGCATTGTTCGGTGGAAAGGTGAATGATAAACTCAGCAAACAAAACCTCAACGGGGTTGGGGGGGTGGAGCCTGGGAGGAACTAGTCAGGATGCTTCCCATTGTTTGAGAAGGCTTCTTCTGTGTCCCCTGGCATGTTGGTAAGAACGATACAGGATGCTAATAACCTGCAAACGGGCTCCCAACCAAACCTCCGATTCATCACACTCTCATGCCGGGAGATCTGCCTGTCCACTGTTTACAGTAAGCTTTAGCGTGGCGTTGGAAAAGTGAGCCCTGCCGACCTGCATTCCCGTAGCCCTTCTTTGAGGCACCTCCTCACCTGGCTCACAGATGGGAAGTTTACTCTTCTCTCCTTCGGAAGCCTGCTGCCACTGATCACACTGGTAGAGCCCTAGGGGAAAAAAGGAAGGAGGGAGGGAGAGTGACGGAGATGAGTACGGAAAGGATCTGGCACGTAGAAGGAACACGAGGCTTTGGGGTGACTTTTCAAACTGATGTGCTCTTGAGTGCCTCTCCACTCTTTCGGGAACCGTTTTTTAATTTGCAAACTAGGGTGGCGCGAGGAACGCAAGTCCAAAAGGCGGGCTCCCGTAGCGAGCTGGAAAGCGGGTGGCTGCCACCTCACATGGGATCCCCGATATCACTGGCTTACGTTCCCTAAGAACCCGCCCTTCCATTATTAAAACACAACGCTCAGAGTTTCCGTTCGGTCCTGTGCCTGGCGTGTTCAACTCCAGCCAACCCACAGGCAGCGCCTAGACAGGGTGGCTCCCAGGGGTTTGCCGAGAGGGTTACGGCAGGCAAGCCCAGGTTTATCAGCTTGTTGGAACCTTGGATTACACCTCGGTTCTGCTGAGATGGCTTTCCTGGATTAGATGAGAGGTCCATCGGGGCTTGTATTCCACCCCCTCAGTACAGACTCACCCCTGAAGTTGCCGAGCACAGTACGAATGCAACAGTCATGTCCTTCTGTTGGTTCCTACCCCACCTCCTGCCATCATAGGAGGGTTTTGAACCCGTTTGCAGCTCGCTGGACAGCTCCATGAATGAGGTGTCTGGGAGTTCAATTCTCCACTGTGTACCTCCCAGGAGAAGAGCCGGCTAGTGTGGCCTTGGGCAAGAGGCACAGTCCCAAGGCAAACCCTCCCCCACCCCGAAGAAGGGAAGGGGAAACTTCAAAACAAAAAAAGTTCACCATTCCCAATCAAAAAGACTAAATTGGCTCAAAAAAAAGTCACAGGTTTAAGCCTCCAAGCAAAAGATTTTTAATAAAAACAATTTTTAAAAAATCAAGCTTTCAACCAAGAAAACACATCCTGTCATCTTAAGGGTTACAAATACCAATTACACTTCTGGATATTCCCTACTTTGAGAACTCCAAAAAGAGTCACTATAAATCAGAACTGATGGCATGCCAGTATTATTATTGAACTGCAGTCCAACTCCAAAAAGAGTCACTATAAATCAGAAATGATGGCATGTCAGGATTTCCGCCTTACCTTTTCCTGGGCCACGGAGTTGATAAAAAGGGTCACACTCAAAACGAACCAGCTGCACAATTCGGCCATGCTCAATTTCTTGAGGGAGTGGGCAGGTGCCTATGAGAGGAGTGTGGCCGTTAGCATGGCATTCCTCCTGCTCCCACACCGATTGGCATCTATCCTGCTCAAGCACCCTCGCCGCCAAGGACCCTCCTCTCCCTGAACCCCGGGCATTTCCCCCGACGCAACAGTAGTTCCGCGGCACTTACCAAGGGTGGGTACGGTCACACAGCCTCCGCCACTGAGCAGGGCAGCCAGTCCCCAGATTAAGGCAGCTCCCAGCGCAAGCATCCTGTTCGGGAAAGAGCAAAAACAGACGAGATTGCCAAATCAGACCTCGCTTTTGTGCACAAACAACTCTCCTCACTGTACAGGCATCAGGCACTCTGCCCGGCAAGAAGGAGCTCCGTTTCCCCTCTCAAGTGTCTGCCCCTTCCATTTTCGATGGGTGCAAAGCCACAGTGGTTCCCTTCCGTGGGCTGGGGGGGGAGCCACTAGGGGCCCCAACCTCTTCACCACCTTTCCTGCATCCTCTTCTTATCCCAATGGAAGCTGTTCCGGCCCACAGCAGGGCAGGAATGGGTCTCCTCCCACCCAAAGAAGGCTGCACTGAGGATTGGGCTTGGTTTTTCCAAAAGGGAGAAAGGGCTCGACAGAACCACCTGGAGGAGCAACAGCTTCAAGGCGAGGAGCCTCCGCAGAAAGGTGGCAAAGAGGTGGATGATGGAGTAAGGACAGGGAACCGGTTCTTCTCCCCTTGTCACACCGTCCGGGTGGAGGAACCCTTATAAACCTGGCTCAGGTGTTGCCTTACGCACCGTTTCCTGCAACAGCCAGCCTTGAAAAGGTCACTGACTTTCCCGACAACCGGTCCCAGAATCAAGCCCTCCCTCCCTCCCTCCCTCCCTCCCAGCAGGGCAGGCCGGTGCCAGCTGGAATTCAGTCCAAGCACCTCCTTAGGTGGCCCCCTTCAGAAGGATCCTCGATCCTCCACTCCCTGGCCACAGCAACTGGGGCTGAGAATTTCCAGGACTGGTTCTGGAAAGCCAAGACGAGGGCTTTGGACCCTGGACTTATCCAGCCGGGAGAGCTGGTCCTACCAAGCGGTTTTATGAAACGCCATTTGATTTAGGTCCTTGGGTCACTTCCTTCCTCCAAGAATCTCCTTTGGCTCCTGTTGGAAGCCTTGGGGTGCATGTGTGTAGAGGAGGATACACAAGTGGGGTGCCTTCAATGTGCAGAGAACACGGTGCGGGTATTAGCATTCTCTCGCTTTCTCTCTGATCCTCAACTGCGTCAGCTCAGCCACCAGCCGGGTGAGAGGCAAGCGAGAGAAGACGGCCCCCATCGGAGTGTCTGCGTGCCTTGGAGCCGGCAGGCCGTGAAATGGGTTTTCCACTTCCAGCCGGACATCTTTCCTCTGGAAAGCCTGCATAACTCACAGCGCCTGACAGCGTGGTATTACTGGTGGAGAGCACAGGATGGCGACTCGGGAGACGTGGGTTGTGAATCCCTGCTCGGCCATAAAGCCCACTGGGTGATCTCAGGCCAATAACCGGGATGGAGAATCACACTCCGCTCCTTGAGCTCACTGGAAGACAAGCGAGCCAGAAAGGGGGCAAATAAATCAATAACGGATGCAAGACCCAAGCCAGCTTACAAGTTCTACCTCCAGAGGGTGGGTTTCATCCTGTCGGAGCCCTCAAAGTCTCCCCGAGGTGCTCCCCTCCCCAAGGAGGACATTTCTCCTCCAAGCCCAACCATTTTAAGGCCCTGATGGTTTTTCCTTTTGTGGCCATCCCTCTTTTTTCCTCTGGAAGGAAATCAAAACGCTCGCCTTCGGACTTGCTTGTGACAACTTAAGCCGAAGCAGCCTGCGTCGCTCCTCCTCCGGGCCTGCTCTACGCTACGTCCTGTCCCTTCCAGGAAGTCAAGTGTGCAGCTTATGGGGAGGAAAAGAGACAGGGGGTATCACACCAAGACAGAAGAGCTTTATTTCAAGACCCACCAAGTTGAAACCCATCACCGGAGAGGAGGAAGCCTCCTGAGGCAGGCAGGGCAGAACATCATGTTCTGTACATTCCCCTTTGCCCCCACCCCTCCATCATCATTGGCACAAGCTTCCAAAGCTTGGAAAGAAATCATGGATTAAAAAGACGGAGCGTTACGTCTGTTGCATTCCCATGGAGTCCCTCCTATACAAGATCCGTCCAGAGACCGATCCCTCATTTGCCCACACGCTATCAAGCGGCTTGCCTCAGTTTCTGGAAAGCCAGGCCATTCTCTGCCCCTCACCTCAGGAAAAGTAGCACCAAATAACGCATCCAGCCACCGCCCGCCCCCCCCAGGTCAGCTCCTGGGTTGCTACACAGTCTCTGAACAAGGCAGGCATTGACCTGCCTCGGCCAATATTTGCTTATTCCCTGTGCCAGAGGAGAACAGGCCAAGTCACAAGGGGTTCTTCCTTTTAAGAGCGCCTCTTACGGGAAGAGGTCCTCTAGAGAAGTCCTAGGACAGCGAGGGGTAGCGGGTAGGGAACGAGGTCTTTCCGCCTTTCCTTGCCAGCAGAGTTGGCAGCCCGTGCCGGCTCGGTAGCAAACCCTCTTCCCGGAAGGCTCTGACACAGAGGTGGTGGGTTCCTAGTCCAGAGGTGACTCAGAGAGGGGGTGCTCCTCGCCCCCTTTGCTCTTCCTGGCAATCCAGCATCAGAGGGCCCACCTGGAGGGGGCAGGCGGCCGGTCGGTCGGTCGTACCACTGCCAGAGCGAGGCCCGGCCGCAAATCCTCAGAGGCGGTGATCTGCTCCCACGGCTTCTTGGACATTCTGGAATCCCTGTTCCCTGCGGAAAAAGCAAAGGCAGACGCCCCGTGAGCCGCCCTTCCCAGCGCAAAGCCAGCCCATGCGGCTCACGCCTTGAGAAAGCAGGCGACCTGGCTTGAGGGAGACCCTGAAAATGAGAAGCGGGCGGAGAGCGACCACAGACCAGCACTGTGGGCCTGCTCTAATGTCCCACCACCTCCATATAATCATCACCTAATAGCCGCCCTTCCCAGCGCAAAGCCAGCCCACGCGGCTCACGCCTTGAGAAAGCAGGTGCCCTGGCTTGAGGGAGACCCTGAAGACGAGAAGCGGGCGGAGAGTGACCACGGACCAGCACTGCGGGCCTGTTCTAATGTCTCACCACCTCCATATAATCAGCATCTAATAGAATGCTTATCTTGGGAGTTGCAGTCCAAAACTCCTGAGTAACCCAAGGTTAAGAACCAGTGACCTAATAGAATGATTACTTATTTTATATAAAGTCTTTTTTACCCCGCCTCTCTCCTTAAGAAGGCCCAAGGCCACTTACATCATTAAAAGACAACGTTTGCAGCTAAAAACAGGAAAGGACCACACTCAACGATGGTAACCAAAAGCAGCCCAAAAACCACGTTCAAAGCCGTGAGGTGCCACCATCCATTTTGAAATCCCCGTCGCTCAAGGGAAAGCTTGCCTGAAGAGAAAGATCGTCACTGAGCCTGACCGCCAGGCGGGGAGTGGATGTTTTCAGTTTAGCAAATTTTTTTGGGGGGGGGGGAATGGCCTCATTTCCTGCATTCTTGGCCCTCGCCAGGCCCTCTGGTGCCCCATTCTGCTTATCTGAACACTCTGTCAGCAAAGTTTATTTGGTTAACGGTTTCACTGAGTCCCCTGGGCTAAAGGGGTTGAGTGCAGCAGGCGGTGGCGCCCAAAACGCTCACCCTCCGTAGCCCCGGCGTCCACTCACCTCAACAGAGCCTCCAGTTCACGCTTCACAGCCTGCACCACAGGTGGGCCTCGGTAGGTGAGGGCCGTGTACATCTGCACCAGGGAGGCGCCCGCCCGGATCTTCTCTAAGGCGTGCTGCCCGTTGCTGATCCCGCCCACGCCAATAATGGGCACTCGGCCTGCCCGGGGCAGGGAGAAGACAAGGGGCCCAGTTAGAATAAGGGGCGCCCCCCGTGGCATCTCCACGCCCACCTCCCCTCCACCGGCCCCATTACCTTGGGTGAGATGGTACATGTCGCTGACCGTCTGAGTAGAGAGTTGGCGCAACGGGGCCCCGCTCAGCCCCCCTGCTTCGCCGCGCAGGTCCCCGCGCAAAGTCCTCGGGCGGCTCACGGTCGTGTTAGTGACGACCAGCCCATCAACGCCGAGCTGAGAAAAGAGGAGCAAAGAAGTAAACCCGCCCGGCAGGAATTGACCAAAAAGCAGAATCAGAACAAGAGTGTATGTAAGGCTTTTTTTTAACACCAGGTTTCAAAACTTGTTTCCCTGGTCATCTGTTTCTGAATTTTGTTTGGAGATCTTTTGCCTGGGGGGGTGGGGGGGGAGGGGGCATATTTGGTAACACAAACTCGGTTGATCTTGGCCTGCCTGGGACTCGTTTCTCTTCTTTATTTTCCCCTCTTGCTCTCAGGGAGACTCTTGTGTGGCCGCCACCCCAGGCCCTTGTCTCAGAAAGTCCCTTCCCTCTCAACTTGGCGAAGACCTGGTTCTGGAGCACCAGAAAAACCTGACCACCCCGGGGGGGGGGAGGCATCCAGGGCAGGGCAAAGGGACCCAGGGCAGGGCAAAGCAGGTTAGATGGCAGGGGCTGGGCCTGCTCCCCCCGCCCTGCCCAGCCCTCCTTACCTCGCAGATGACACTAGCAATGTCCCGCTTGTCCTGAGCGGTGAGGTCTGGTGCAATTTTCACCAGCACGGCTGGCTTGGGCTCCGAGGCCAGGGCATCCCTCTCCGCCAGCACCTGCCAAGAAGGGGCACATTGCTCAGGGCCCGAGGCCATGGGCAGCACCAGCCACCCACCAGGCACCACCCTCCTGCCACCTACTGAGCGCTGCCCACCGGTGACCTCCAGAAACAGCCGTGACTGCAACGGCAGACATGTGCGTGTTTTGCTTCTTTAGTATTAGGCATCCTTCAGTCTTGAGAGACAATGGTCACATGCTCTGAATGGAAGACTTCCCAGCGTGTAGCGTGGCTGGGAAGGCCAATGTGAGAGTGAACATCCCTTCCACACTGAAGACAAATGCAATCTCTCCCCTGTCCAGCTCGCTTATTTTGCTGGTTTCGGGACTGCCTCTTGGCCTCGGCCTGCTGGACAAGGGTCCCTTCAAATTGGGAGAGGCCGTGATGCAACACCTGCCTCCAGGCTAAACGCTCAGAGGTCAAGGTTTCCCATCTGTTGAGGTCCATTCCTAAGTCCTTCAGATCCTGCTTGCAGATCTCCTTGTATCGTAGCTGTGGTCTCCCTCTCGGGCAATTTCTCTGCACTCATTCTCCATACAGGAGATCTTTTTTTAGTATAACCTTCAGAATTCCCAAGGGTTATTCTGTAGCTTGAGAAAGGAAATCTTCTCCACGATTTTACACACAGAGCTCAGCCCGCCACAATCTGGCTACCATTCAGCATCTCTCCAGCTGCTGAGAGCAGACCAGCTCAGGGGCCAAAGCAGCCTTGGGAGGCTCAAGGACAACCCGGGGGGGGGGGGGGGACACACCCACCTTGGCCAGCAGGAGGCGCAACTCCGTTTTGCCTTGCAGGGTCCGGAGCCCTGGGGTGTTGGGACTGGAGACGTTCACCACCAGGTAGTCGGCCAGCGGGCCCAGCGCTCGCACCCCTGCAGCGTAGTCCGCCACGGCATCCACCGAGGCCTTGTTCTTGCCGAGGTTGATCCCGAGGGGCCTCCCGGCTAAGAAGACAGGTGCCGGAGCGACCCCTCAGAGTTGTAGTCCCAAGCCTTTCCAGCCACCTCTCATCATGCAGGGGCCCTACAGCACCACATACACACACACACACACTATATATAGAGGGAGGGGAAGATACAGGCAGTTTTCAGGCTGCTCAGCTTGCCTGCTCTTCCCTCCGAGAGGATTCCCATAAGGAAAGTGTCCCTGCCATCAGAAGGCTCTTCACTGCAAAGGCCCAGCGGCAGCAAGGAGCTCTGCTGGCCGAGGGGCAACTGGACCCTACAGATGGGGCCACCCCCTGCGTCCAGCGGCCCATCAGCCACGCTTCCCCTCCCGCCGGTCTCTCCCTTGCTGTCCAGCCACCCTCCGAAGCCAGGAAGTAACATGTCAGAGGAACGGAAGGGGAGCAACAGCTTCCAAGAAACCCTGAAGCCGCCTGCAGCCGTGGTGGTGGGGGGGAAAGAAATGCAGTGGGGAGAGGACAGGGGGCCCCCCCCGCAAGGACTTCCAGGCTGCACACAGCCCACCTCACCTTCGCTGAGCTGCCGCTGAGTCTCCTGCCGGGCCCGAAGCCTGCGCTCCACCACCGCGTGGCCGTGGCTGTTGAAGCCGTACCTACAGGGCAGGAGGAGAGGCTCAGCCTCCTCCCTCTTCCTCTTAAGGAGAACCCTCTCCCTCCGCCCCCACACCCCCCATCAGCGGCAAGAGGGGCTGGCAAAAGCTCTCCCAACATCCGTGACACACCCTCTGCCCCAGAGTTTAGAAATTTTATCTTTTTAAAAAAAAAAAAAAAACCGTTACTTGCCTACAGCAAGGGAAAGTTAAAAGCAACCTGTCACCCTCCCCCTGCGTTCCAATGTCAACTCCCAACATCCGTGACACACCCTCTGCCCCAGAGTTTAGAAATTTTATCTTTTTAAAAAAAAAAAAACAAACCCGTTACTTGCCTACAGCAAGGAAAAGTTAAAAGCAACCCGTCACCCCACCCCCACCCCGGCGTTCCAATGTCAAAAAAAAGTAATTCAGAACATTAATCATTACTTTTCTAATCCCTTCTGTTACTTCTGCGAAGGCATTGGGATGCTTTCTCAGAGAAGAGCATAAACACGGAATCATTTCTGCCTAAACGCTCTTCGCAAGTTCGTTCTGAACGTTATCTGAAAGCACTTGCTTAGGACGCTCGTTAAATAACATCCTCCCTAGGCATCCAATGGGTTTTCCAAATGTAATCTGACCATTGCCACCAGATAACAAGGTGATTTGTGACTCATTCCTCCCCCAAATCGGCCCCCAAACGCCTCACCTGTTGATGACAGCCTGATCCTCCGGCAAGCGGAAGACCCGAGGCCGAGGGTTCCCTTCCTGGGCCTCCGGCGTGACGCTGCCGACCTCCACGAAGCCGAAGCCCATCTTGAACAGACCATCCACTGCCTCTCCGTGCTTGTCAAACCCCGCGGCCAGTCCCACGGGGTTCCGGAACCGGCGCCCAAAGACTTGAACTTCCTGAGGAAAAAAAGACCGTTCAGCATCAACGGCGAGCGGCAGGAACAAGCCCAGGGCCCTCCCGCCCGGGTACAGAGCAGGATCTCCGGAGGAGCCCTCCCAGGGGGGTCAACGGAGGCCCATGGGAGGGAGCGCCGCACAATATGGCCCTCCTTGGAACCTGCCCCCCAGAGAAATCCCACCCACCACCCCTCCCCGGTTTTACCCACCAAAGCTTCCGAATCCACGTGGCGGCCGCACCAGGGGACGACCCCCAGGGCCACCAGGCGCACGGCCAGGGTGTGCGCCGTCTCCGGGCCCACCAGCCATTGCAGCACCGGCATCAGCCGCGCGGCGTAGAAGTCCTCGTCTCCCGCCGCCACCAGATAGGAGGCGAAGATCGTCCCACCTCCTCCGAGGACCACGGCAGCCTCCTTCAGGCGTCTCTGGGAGAGCAGAGAGGATGAGAGGCTAGCCCGGGGGGGGGACATTCTTCTCCCCCTCCACCCGCCCTCCTTTCCCTGTGCATCCACCCCTTTGAGCTCTGGGGGGGGCTCTGAGCTGTGGAGGGCCAGCCCGACAGCTGGGAGGCTGGGGTGCTGCCCCCCCAAGGCATGCCGGCCTCTCCCAAGGAGCCCCGGGCACCCTTCTTCCCCCAAACCAGAGCCCTCCTAGCCACTTGGCTCTAAGAAAGGAGAGAACGTAGTGCTAGTGTAGCTCAGTAGGTTGAAATGCCTGGTTGTGTAGAGCCAAGGGGCATGATTTGGGATCCCCACTCTACCTCCTGGAAGATGGGCCATTTGAGATCACCTAACTATCTAACTGATGGGGATACATGTCCTTCGGCTTCTGTGGCCATGGGAGGCTGCTTGGTTGTCACCTGACTGATGAACCACTTCTGAACAGTACATTTAGAAAATCTGGAGAGGATGGCCATATGTCAGAACTCAACCTGATTGCACATGATTGATGGATTAGGAAGAAACCTATCAAATCATTGCAAAGGATGTTTTTAGAACCATTTTCCTCAAATAGTAGTCAAATTGTAGTCCAATCGATCTGGGCACACACAGTCCAGATCTAT